AGCAGCGGCAGCGCTTAGCTCGGCTCGCTGTTTAGCCGCCGGCCCCGAGCCGACGCCCTGCGGACCCTGAACCGTCGCCCCGCTGACTTCCAACCCCACACACCGAACCGTCATCATGGTGAAGCATGTAGAAAGCCTGGTGAGTCCGTTAAGGGCCTGTCGCGGCCTTTCTCAGCTGCGTGGGCCGCGGTGAGTAGCGTTTCTTACCCCGTTCAGGGTGTGGCGGCCGCCGGTCCCGGGCGAGGCAGCCCCGGCCTTTCGCCCTGAGAGGGGAGGGGGGTGGGAAAGGCAGCGAGGTGAGCATCGTCTCCTGGGCGGGAGGAAGGGCAGCGGGCCTGGCCTGCTGCCCTTCTGGCATTCCTGGGCGCCGGCAGGAGCTGGGGCGAACAGGTGCCCCTCTTCGGCTGCCCTGGACCCTGGTGAGGCCTTTGCCAGCCAAGGCGGGCTGGCGGGTGACAGCGCGTGTGCTCTGGGACACGTCTGGGTCCTGGGTCTGCCCGGGCAGGAGCAGCCTGTCTCACTGCTGCAGCAGAGAAAACGTGGGGATACACTCACACCAAGGGGAGGGAACAAATACTCATACGACCTAAGGCTTCAGATAGTCCTAATGAGAAGGGAGATGATGTAGTCTCACATTATGACAGATCGTTGTTCATTTCCCTTTAAAATCTTAACAAAATGTAATGTTTTATTTCTCAAGCTGGTAACAGGGTACTACAGTATCTTAATTTAGAAGTCCAGGCTCACCTTACATACTACTGGTGTGTAGGTGACCAGGTGGCTTTCTTAGTAGAGATCGGTTCTGTTGTGTTTCTGTAGAGGAATTCATGAAGAACATTAATCCAACTTTCCTGACTTGAAAGGAGTGACTAGAGCCCATTCCTGTACTTAAATAACAGGTGTTGCTGGCATAAGTATTTCCCTTGTTACAGTGCTGTCTGACTTATTCAATACACTAATGCAGCACCTCATTGTTTGGGTGGTTCTGTGAATGCAAACAAGTCTGTGGCTTTGTGATACAGAATAGTAATAAAGTCTAGACCAACCCATGGAGAATACTCTGGCTGGTGATGAAATAGTATGTAGTCTTGCGCACAGCAGCTGCTGACATGGTTGATAGACAACAATAGAGTATTTGGTAGCTGTAATTTACGAATCCAAATCTCCAAAAATATTCTCTGGGCTAACCTTGAGCTCCTCACTTTGGGAAAAATCCTGTTGGGATAGTCTTGCATTTGGAACTTGAAATTCAGTTGAAATGTTGGTGTGATCTGACTGTGAGGGTCTTGTGAGTGATGCTGCACGGCATCCAAGTTTGTCTTCTAGGTTATAGTCTTTAGTCAGTTCACGCTGAGAAAGCTTTCAGGACCTTTTTCCCTAGTTTGGTATTTTTTTAAGTTGCAAGAATAAGCACCTTTGGACCCTGCACCTCTTTACTCTTCCACAGCAATTTTAGTTGATGTTAAAGATGACTGATAGGGTAACACCAGATTGTAGTCATGACCAGATCTCCAGTGTTGTGAGTGACCAGCTGTAGGTATTCCACCCTCCCACTTTCCACTTGTTCTGTGCAACAGCCAACCTGAGGTGTGTGGTCACATGATGAACACATCCCAATGCTGCACTCCTTGTTGCAGAATACAGTAATTATGCAGCTGCACAGAAGACAAGGGTAAGAAGGGGATAGTCCAACTGGCAGATGCAGTAAGTGGAATTGGTAAAGAGCTGGTGATGTTACAGTGCAGAGGTTTTAGAAGTTACACCAAAAAAACCCAAGCTGTAGGATTTGAAGGTGGGCAGGAGTGAGGCTTGACTGAGGAACTTAAGTAGTTAAAGGGAGCAGCTAGCATGGATTGCTGTACAAGGACATTGAACTTTATTGGTGGGAATGGGGTGCTTCTGTGATTGGGGTGCAGGAATGCATACTGTCCCAGTACAGGAGTGGAGGGGAATGCAGAGAGACAGGAAAACTTATGGTTCCCATCTCTTCAGACTGAGAGTCTCTTAAGTGGTGTAGAGCAGAGGTTCTCAACCTTTACGTCACCATGGACCCCCCTTTTAATACCTTTTGTGGCTGTGGACCACCAAGATAATTCAAGATTTAAAACTCTGGACTGCATGAAATATTTATTTCACTTTTCTCATGAAGTGTCTTCCAAGTTTGGAGAGAAGGGAAAACAGTCTGTTAATGCACACACTCATATTATATCTTCATTGCAATGATTCCTGCTTGCCATGGTCCAGACTAAATGTTTCTGGGCTAGGTGTTCCTCACCCCTGCTTTAAGCCTTTGTGGACCCCCTGTGATGACAGCATACCTGCTATGGGGTCTGTAGACCACAGGTTGAGAACCACTGCTGTAGAGCGTTAGCTACTGATCTTAGAGTAGTCTGTGAATATCCAAGATTCCAGGATGGAAGAACTCAACACATGGAAGCTGTGCTTCTAAAGATAGCTACATTGGGAGGGGAAATGTCTTATCAGTGAGATGCAATGCCAGGTGTGCTTGAACTTACAGAAATTTAGAAAGACTTTCATGTAGGTTTATACATAAGAATGCTGGTGCAGGACTCTCTTCCTCCTTGTAAAATATACTTGTGACCAGTTTGTGTCCACTCCTGGCTCCTCACCTGCCTGGCATTCCTTAATGGGGGGGAATAGCTTAGAATCAGGTCTCAATTTACTGTGATTGCAGAAGCTGGTGTTATTTAACTCCTGCACAGCAAAAACTGTGCAGTGGCAGTAACTATTGCTCTGTTAGCTGTTGCTGACAGAACTCTAATGCTATGGTCTGTTAAGTTGGGGACAATAAAGCAGCCATCTTCTATATGCGTAATCTGAAATGAAGTTTGTAGTAACAGTTTATATTGTGTGGTCTGTATGTGTAGCACTGCTTTGGCTAGTGATGTTACATATGGGTTCACTTGGCAAAATAAGTAAACTATACTATGAGGCTGCTTTAGGAAACATGATGTTGAGTAAACCATACAACATTTTGATGTTATCCATTGACTGGCAAAAACCTCAGACTGGAGGAATGTACAAAAGTTCGTGTCCCTTCAAATTCTGCAGAGGAAAGTCTGTCCCAGATGAAAAAGGATGTCTTCCTGCCAAGACTGAAATGAGAAAATGGATTATTTAAAAACCATAGGATCACATTCAGGGGGTAGCACTAAACAGAGCTGCCAGAGTTGGGGGTCATAGGCTAGATGAGTTTCTGTCTTATGTTTCCACAATTCAGTAAGTTGGGGTGACTGAGAATTGTGGTCTTTTCTAATTGAAGAGTAAGACACTAGCTGATATAGCACTGATGAAAGCAATTCATACTGAAGCTATTACATGGTGATTAACAAATACCTCAGTTAAGTGTTTAAGAAGCTACTAAAATGGTTAGTGTGTTAAGGCTGAGAGCAACCTAGTTTTGAGATTAGTCTAAATTGTTTTGGAAAGAGGGGGAAAATCATTAATGTGTTCAATTCTTTTATAGGTGGAATTTGAGAAGGAACTGGTAGCTGCTGGTGAGAAGCTTATAGTCGTTGATTTTTCTGCCACGTGGTGTGGACCATGCACAATGATCAAGCCCTATTTCCATGTAAGTAGCCTTTCTGTTTTTATTGGCAACTGCATTAAAGTTATATATGAATGGTTTTGTGCTGCTTGACAATAACATGGAGGAAACTTCCTTTTGCTGCCTGTGACTGCCAGCATTTTCTGCAAGAGGGAGAAGTCAGTAGTATTTACTTTAAGACTATTGAGTTAAATATACTGACCTTTGATACAGCTGGAGCTCAAACCTGGTTTAACTTCTGCTGTCCTAATGCTTACATGTATCTCGAATCTCTAGGGATGTAACAGTTGCATTGCCTTAGGAGGTGGGATACTGCATGGAAACAATGTTTATGCTTCTGTACACAGTTACTCTAATCACTCCAGCTTTGTTTAGGTGGCAATGTGAGCTCCTGCTGTAAAGTATGAAATACTGTAGCATCTTACAGCCGAAGGCTGTAAGAAAAGGCCTTTCACCATTGTTTAGGGAGATTTGAGTCTTCTGTGGGAAGTATGTTTGAACAAGTTTCAACAGACTCTACCAGGCATTGGAGCAGAAAATTAAATTTTAGCTCTGGTCAGTTGAACAGCTGCCTTAAGTTAAGGCAAGTTTCCCTGGGGGTGTGGGGAGTGAGCAGCACCAGCCTTAGAATTTATATGTAAATTGTTTATATATTTTATATAGTATGAAAGAAATATATATTTATGTTTCTATGTATTTTTATTTCTTCTGAAAAATAAAGCTTTCCTGGAACACTTAACTGCATAGTTTCTTATGTCATTCCAGAGTTTGTGTGAGAAGTATCGTGATGTGGCGCTGTTCATTGAAGTTGATGTGGATGATATGCCGGTATGATCTGGGGTGATGCTGAGGGAGGGCAGCTAATGAGTTCCACACAAGTGACAATGAAGAACTTTTTTAAAGACCTTGCAGATACTGAAACAAAATGAGAGTCAACTTTGAGAAGCAGAGATAGGGGTTTAGTACTTACACTGTAAAGAATGATTTTTTTTTTTTAGAAGATGCCTGAACAGGTTATCTGCACACTTGAAGCCCTATGGCATGTGTCAGATAAATTGGGAACACTAATGCTCTATTTGGGAGAGAGTGTTAGTCTAAGGCCTTAAGCTGATTTAATGCAATCTTAACTAAAACTAGTGGCTCACAATGGTCTGGTGATCCATCTGGTCTCTCCACTGCTCTTGGCACTGTTTCCTCTTTATGTCTTGAATTAAGTGCAATAATGTCTACAGCAGTTCCAGCAATGTCAACCAGGTATTTGAACAATGTCAGATTGGAACACAAGAGTCACCATAGGACTCTTGAGCCTTACAAGTAGGCATCTCTGTTTTGATGCAGAGGCCTGTTTTTTTTTCCAAACAGTACAAGTGTAGTAAATGTGATTTTGCTATTGCATTAGTTAAATGCTGAAGGGAGGACCATTCAGGTTTACTTCAGGGAGGTGTTAAGACTGCATTGATTTTGCTAGTGATGGACTTCCAGAAATGCTTTTACTTCATTTTGAGCAGTAATGGCCTTGCCTTATTGCCTAAACAAAAGGCAGCTAGTGAGTCCTAAATTTTAACATCCTTCAGACATGCACAGCTGAAGATTATTTTCTATCTCTTCCAGGATATTGCTACACACTGTGACGTGAAGTGCATGCCAACATTCCAATTCTACAAGCATGGAAAGAAGGTACATAGGCTCTGCTCCTCTGGAACTGTAGTGGGCAAGCTAAACACTTGAAGATTGGGAGTGTCAGATACATAGCCTGCTTTCTCTTGATATTGTGTTTGTAGCACTGCTGGTGTTAAGACATTGCTGAGAGCAAGCAAGTTCATTTTAGTGCTGCAGCAAATGTAACATGGACCAACAGTTAACTGATGAGGCAAACCCTATTGTTCACAGGTAGTGGACTGAGTTAGTATTACAGATCAGTCTGAAAGGCAGAGCTTTGTGGGAGATAAATGGGGTTAGATGTCTGGGTTAAGACTGCAGTCTGTCTGCCTAACACCCTGCATGATCTGGTCTGGCTAACACCCTTACTGATCTTGGCTGGTTTTTGTCTCTGGATGCAGCTCATGGTCAGGCAGAGATGTGTGTATGTGCCTGTGGAATCTCACCCAGACAGAAGTCTCTAACATGGTTGAATATACACACAGCTAAAACAACTGCTTGGATGCTTTTACGTAGAGGCTGTGTAACCTGTGAAGTGGAGGTCCTGCCCCTGTCAGAGGACTGGACTGACCTCTTAATGCCTGCTCTGCCAGGAGGTGGATGAGACAAGGTGCAGACCATGCTCTGATAGCATAGTGGTCTGCCTTTGCAGGGTAGCTGTGAATGTCTATCTGCCTGAACTGAAGAATTGCTGAGCTAAATGTGTCATCTTGAGCTTTCAGTTTGCCAAGCAAGCTGAAGGTAGGCTTTTCTAAAGTAAAACAATGCCTGGATAGAAGTTTCATGGCTGCAGGCAATGGAGTTGTGCCTCTAAAAGTGAGTGTCAGATGTTGGGTGACCTTCAGTTCAGTATAGGGCCAAATAATGACTAATAATGAACCTTTGACAGTTTTTTCAGGGTAGACTGTCATGGCTTCATAATGTAATTGGAAGAATTGATTATGATGTGACAATGTGTGAAAGTGATATGCTTTACCCTGTGTGGCTTTTTTTGGGTGACGTTGGCAGTTCTTTGGATACATGAGTATCAAGCAAGCAATTTCATGTTCTATAGTGTAGTCTGCTCTACCTTGCAGCTGTGTAGGTACTGGAAGACAGAGCCACTGTTTTTGAGATTGAACATTGCCTTTGTCCTTCTGTATAAGCTGTGACAAGGACCATTCTTGCAGGAAAAGCCAGGCTCAGGGATAGGTAATTTGGAGTGATACTTCCAGAATTTGATTGATAAGGGTCCTGAGCAACCCAAGGTAACTTTGAGCTACTGCTGCTCTGTGGTGACTTCCAGAGTATCTCTTCAAGCCTGTATTTGAGTCTTACACAGCATTGGTTCAGGATCAGTTGTCTTTTCCTTTTCTATTTGTAGAAGGCTCCAGCAGTGGTAGTCTGGAAGTTATTCTTTATAAGAATTTTGTCCTAGTTTTTGCATGAGTTGTGGGAGATGAATAGATAAACAGCTGCAAAATATTCCCTGTTCTGGATCTGAAAAAAATGTAGCAGAATTGAATAGGTGTGTATGTGCCTAGATGCCATGCAAATGTTATGAAGCATTGAATGCAACAGTTCTAAAAATCAATCTCTCTTTACAGATTCATGAGTTCTCTGGGGCCAACAAAGAGAAGCTGGAAGAGACCATTCAAAAACTGGCCTAATCTCCACCCATGGAACACATTGAAACTTGATTGACAAAATTATATCCTGTAACTTTTTTAAAAAATCAGAACACAGTGGTGGAGACTATCCTCTTGATCTATGTAACATTAAAGCGCATATTCTTCACTTTTGACTATTGCCCTCTCTTTGAATGAACATGTGAGGAATTTAATAATGTTGTCAAGGTGTCAGTTTTTGCTGTGTTAAAGGAGGATTGTCTGGATACAATGACTCTTGTCACACAATCTGATCTATTACTGGGTTATTGCTGGGCATGGAAAGTTGTGTTGCATGGGATGGCAATGGCAATTGCTTTAGAAGTCTGCTACCACCTTACTGAGGTGGTAGTCACCAGGCTATAATCTGAAGAATGGCAGTCTGGCTTGCAGATACAGAAAGGGAAGTTCAGGATTTGTAGAAAAGAGGGTGATCACTGGGTGGGATAGGCTTTCTTTAGTTACCTCTTTGTAAAGATTCTTTTAAAATCTGTTAAGCTTCATTTTAGACTTCAAAGCTAAAACTTGGCTTATAACATAATACCAGTCTGACCATGGAGGTGTAAAGTAGGACTTGGAGGTGCTGCCTTTTTCCTTTTCAGTTTTGCCTTGATTGGTGTACCTTCTGGTTCTCTTGGTAAGAAAGTATGTTTAGGCTGCTTTGTTCCTAGGCAATAATCTGGAAGAAATGACTGAAGATTTAAAACTAAGTGTCTTAAGCCCCAAATAATTTAGATTTGTGTATTGTTATCTATCTTTGCACTATTGTATTCTTAGAACATGTTGGACAGTAAACTGGACTATGCAGTCCTCCAAACCTGCATTAGGTTGTCTAGAGTAATGCTGACCTGCCAGCCTCTATATCATTCAACAACTCTTCCCAGTGTTACCACAGAGAACTGCTCTGTGTTTTCCACCCTATCGAAGTGGCTTTCTTGCTGGCTTGGGGTTGTCCTGGATAAGAATTCAGGAAATAGGCAGGGCTGTAGCTAGCAGCTATACCTAATGCTGTGGTTAGAGATAGGTGAGCAGTGCTGCTCATTGAACATCACTGATGAAAAAGCAATACTTCCTGATACATATGCAAACAATGTGGAATGAGTGAGCATCTTGTCTTTGTGGTAGGGAGCTCAATGTGTGACTGACTCAGCCCTATGCTCATTTCACAAGCATGTATGAATTTCCTGACTCTTCAGGACTGGGGCCTCAACAGCTTGCTGCATATGTTTCTTATTTGAAACAAGTTTTTTCTAGTCTAAGCAGTGACCACCCTTTATTTGAGGATGAGCCATCAAGGATCTTGGATGCAAGCTTTTGGTTGTGATTATGCAATGACAAGGACATGCAAAATGTTCTCTGTGCAGCTCTGGATATTTGACTAAGAGGAGTGCAGCTGGGCGTTTAAAAGGCTTCACACAGGTTAAGTGGGAAACCACTGCCCCAAGTGATGCCATGGACAGATGTCTGGTGAGAGAATAATAAGTTGTATGGAGCAAGAATTCACCATCTGTAAACAAGCATTGCTTTTAAAAACAGTTCCTGGGTGGCCTACTTATTCCCCCTGGGCAGTAGCTAGGAGCAAGAAAGATTTAAAAAAAATTCCCTGGTGAAAAGTCCTGGTGAAGTTCAGTAGGAACCCATAACATCCAGTTTTATCCTTAAGAGATAAGGAAGCTACTAAGATGTGCTGCAACACAGTATTTCTGCCAAGGTGAGGCCAGACCAGGTTGTTACCTATTACAGCAGGGAGAAGGTGCAGTTAATGGGAAATGTTTCTCATGTGTTGAGTTTGACAATGCTTTGTCTACTTGCTTAAGATGCCACTCTGCAGTAGCCTTGAAAGATCAAGGTGACTGGAAATTCAAGGTAGGATTTGGAGAGATCAGAAAGGCTGGAATGACTCTTGTGCTGAAACTGGGGGTGTAAAACAGTTCTTACAAGTGCAGTGAGTTGTCTGCTTTCTGTGCTGATCTTGTTCTGAGAACTGGTATGTAGGCACAGCATGATGAAATAACTTACATAGCCTTACTTGAAAGGAGGTGTTCTTTAAGGCTTGGTTCTTTGAGGAATATGCAGTGAAGATCTGTGCATTAGGTAAACTTCCCCTTCAAAGGAACCAGCAAGCATGTTCTGTTCAAATGTGTAGTTACACCAGAATTAGTGTTTTGAAGTTGGTCCTTGTCATTACAGGTGATGGATGGCAAAGCCTAATGGCTATACCTAGCTGAGATGTAAGGAGTCTCGGTTTCTACAACAACAGTGCTGCTGCTGGGAGGAAAGAACCCCAGTTCAGGACAGGAACAGGACCAAGTCTTCCAACAGGCAAGAACATGGGGTTTCAGCCTTTAACAAAGCCTAGATACAGCAAATGAATATTTTGCCCTAAATGGAATGGGTATAAAGTAGCCTTGCTTAAAAACTTGGGCCATATGCCCTGCCATGTGGGTATTAAGTAATAACCTGGATAGCTCAGTGGGTGCATTTCATTGCTTGCTCACTTTTCATATGAAAGAGTGAGACCAGTATTGCCGTATGTCAGGCAGTAATGCAGCAGTCACTTTTTCAGAGTTTTGTGATCTGCTGTTTAGATGAACAGAACTAACTGCTTTGATCCAGGAATCTGAAAAGATGCCTTTAGAGAGGGAAGTGGTTGATGGCCAGTTGATGAATGCTTGGAAGAAACATGATGTACATGGCAGAGAAGTAACAACGTATGAAGGCTGCTTCTGGGACTAAGGGCTTCAGGAAGAAGTTCTCCCCTCAGGTAATGACTGCAGTCTGTTTCATTTGGCTGTGGAGTGTCTGGGATCTGTGCCCTGCTGTTAAACCAGCAGAGCAAGATGCTTTTGTCTACAGGCCTGTTACATAGCTTGCTTTCTTAGTGGGCTGGCTAAAAGGAAGAGAAGTACTTCCTTGAGCACAGCAATTGGAACACATGGCTGGAATAACTTGCTGTAATGAGAGAGGACTAGCTATCATGAAAGGGAGAGCCAAGGGGTGACTGAGTGAACAAGGGAACTGTGTGTGATTAGATTGCAGTGAAATAGTGACACTCCTTAACTCCATCCATGTGGTCTGAAACTGCTGTCATACTTGGGGAAGAATTCTCTTAACGACCCATGCATCTCTTCCACATCTTCTCTTGCAGCAGTAATGCTGACTTCAGTGCCAGTTAACCATCTGCTTTTCATTCTTTACTTGACCTGAATGAAGTTAGACTTGGATTTCCCCCTTGAATGATTCCAGTAAGTGTATTTGTAATTGTTCTAATGTCTAAATTCTTTCTTTCTTATTCATCAAAACTAGCTGGATCTAGCAAGGACAAACCCCAACTTCTTACCAATGGCAACAAACTATGGCATAGTAGTTCCTCTGTGCTGTGCTTTTTGACATGTAGTGTTTAGCCACCCAAGAAATTGGTTTGAGGCATGTGCTGGTGAAATCCTTGCTAGACTAACTCTGTAGTGCAGGTCTCTCACCCTTGGTGAGTGGTGGGAGAGACTGACATGTGGGTTAACCTTGGCTAGCTGTCAGGTGCCCAACAAGCCCCTCTTATCACCCCCTCCTCAGCAGGACAGGGAGAGAAAATGACAGAAAAGCTTGTGGCTTGAGATAAGGGCAGGGAGATGACTCAGCAATTAGTCACAGGCAAAGCAGACTTGTGCTTGGGGAAATATGCATTGCAATTAAACAGAGTAGGTTAATAAAATAGGAACAAATCTATAAACACCTTCCCCTGCCTCTCCCTCCTTCCCAGGCTCAATTTCACTCCTGGCTCTTGCATCTCCTCACCCCTGCGCAGTACAGATAAATGGAGGTTGAGGTCAGTTCATAATGTTGGCTGCTGCTGCTTCTTCCTCCTCACAGTCTTGCCCTGCTCCAGTGTGTGGCCTGTGGGGTACAGTCCTCTGGGAACAGACTGTTCCAGTGTGGATCCCCCATGGGACACAGGTCCTGCCACCAAACCTGCTCCAGCATGGCTCCTCCACACCCTGGAAGTTCTGCCAAGAGCCAGTTCCACTGTGGGCTCTCCGTGGGCTGCTGCTTCTTTCGGGCACATCCCCCTGCTCCAGGGTGGGCTCCTCCCCGGGCTGCAGGTGGAGATCTGCTCCCCCATGGACCTCCCTGGGCGCAGGGCACAGCTGCCTCACAATGGCCTGCGCCGCGGGCTGCGGGGGAATCCTGCTCTGCCTCCTGGAGCACCTCCTCGCCCTCCTTTACTGATCTTGGTGCTTGCAGGGTGTTTTTTCTCACTTGTTTTTTCTCTGCTGCTCTTGTCCTTTTTACCCTTCCACAAATACATCATCACAGAGGTCTCAGCTTTGGCCAGGAGCAGGTCCCTCTTGAAAATGACTGTCACCGACTCTGTCTGTGGTGGCAGCTTCTGGTCTTTCCTCACAGAAGTCACTCCAGCCCTCTTCTCCCACCACCAAAACCTTCATGTGCAACCTAATACACTGACAAGAAGTATTGCAGGACTGAAAGGGCACCAGGCTTAGCAGGGGCCTGGCCAGGGCATGGAGTCTCTGCTCTGCATCTGAAGCAATAACTATACCAACTTCATACCAGCTGCTGAAATATTTACCTGTAGGTCTTCGTCAGAAGACCAAGGTCAGAACTATGGCAGGAAGAAGACTCTGATAAGGACCTCTGGGGAGGCAGTGGGTGCTGTACTCAGTTTAGCTAAATGGTGGTTGAAACCACACTATGGCATCCTTACTTCCAATGGAGGTTTCACACAGGTGAGAAGCATACCTGTTTGGAGATGCCTACAGATCTGGCAAGAATCAACCAGATGAGTCTGAGGAACTTGATTTCATCTTGTGGAGATGCTGGGGAAGCATAAACACATTAAATGCAATCTTTCTTCCTCTGGAGAGGAAAAGCTGAGATATAGTTCAGGCTGGTAGATAGAAAAGGTGAAAAATGCATGGGAGCTGTGTGAAGCCTTCTCTCTGCCTGCAGCTGGTGAAGACAAATTTGTGACAGATGCAAATCGCCACAAGGTGGCAGTGACCCTCTGTGTTTATATATACATTTATACATACACGGACTCTGGGAGTGCCTTGTGTTTTTCTCAGACAGCACTAGGGTGATACTGGGCTAGAGAATTCATGTGGAATGAGTTCCTACTATTCAGGCAGCACCATCTACCTGGCCCCCAGGAACAGGAGTACCTGGGATGGATGTGACACTGGTGTGAACACACTCTAGGGAGGTGGAGAAAGCAGGCATCAGGTCCAACTATCTGCAGAGGAAAAGCTTTAGACCACACTTGTGTCATCACCCCCTCCACTTGAGTCAGTCCATGACATTTCCTCAGGGAAACAATCTTTGTGTCTGTCTGTAGCTCCTCAGAGAGGAGTCTGAGGGAAGAACAAGGGCTGGCACCATGCACAGTCCATGGAACTGTGAAGCCTGTTAAGGGAAATGCAATGGTCAGTTTTTATGCCACTTAGCAGGATGGCCTCCAAGGCTTTCAGCTTACTAGGAAGCAGATTCCATGTTCAGCTAGTGATGAGGGGCTGAGGATAGGGACAGGAGGCATCTCCCTGCACTGTAGGTAATGGCCAGCAGCAGGCTAAGTGATGTGTTTGGAACTGGTGCTGTCTAGCTGAGTGGGGGTGTGAGATGAACAGCTACAGTAAGGGGTCATGGGATCAAGGTAAGAGCAAAGAATCTGAAGTATGTCTTGCTTCAATACAGGCTGCATCAGAGATGCTGTGGGGCTTGATGCTGGATTTGATTCAGCTGGGGAACAGGGCTCATGTGAGAGTGGATGCTGTGGTTGGGCTGTGTTGTCCTGATCCCTCCTGTGGGCACCCACCCTGGAGGACCATGAGAGAAGCTCAGCAGGCAGCAGTGCACTCCAGGAATTACTCCTCATTTCAGCAACCCACAGCTCTTTGCAGCAACTCCTAGGGCTTCCTGAGGCTACCCTTGGTATGGCAGGCCAAAGTGAACTCCTCAAGGCTGAGCCCCACTGTGTCCTGAGCTCAGGCAGGTTATTGCCACCAGCCCAAATTTGCTTAGGAACAGGGTGCAAACGTTGCAATATTTATTACACTGGAACACCTCTAATCTGGAGACTGAATCATTCTGCACAGGCAAGCATATGGCATTAAGTGGTTAAAACACTACTCTACACATGATATATATATATATAGAGAGAGAGAGAGAGAGAGATGAAGAGCTATTTTGCCAACAGATGATGGAGTCTGCAGCTGTTTTAAGATCATTAAATAAACTCTTCTTCCTGCTCTCATACATCCTTAATGAATTGGGATCCTAAATGGCCTCAGAAATCCCACTGTCAAGCCTACTTGCTAAGTGTAACTTAGTGGCACAGACATGGCCATGTGGACTGGAGAAAAGCAGCACAAAAAGCCCAGAGATGACTGCAGGGCCCTTGAGGAGTAAGCACTACATCTTGGGCTGAGCTGACACCGCTTTCACCTTTGCAGTCACAAGCAATGGAATACTGCTGCGGTGCCAAGGGAGGACTTAACCCCAGGCAACCCTTTGCACACCTTCTGACAGACAGTGGGACCACCAAGAGCTCACCCTTTCCCAGAAAGCCTTTAAGCTCAGCTGCAGAGTGATAATGTTAGAGAAAGGGTGATGGCAGCCATCATTTGCTGCTCAGGCCTTGTGCAACTGACTGGAGGCCAGGCTGGACTGTCACAGCACTAACAGTGCTCTGCCTAAAAGCATGTCATGTATTGACAGAAAGGGCCTGTCCCAGCAACATGTCACTGTACTCTTGTTCTCTGCTGGGCATTGACACCTTGTTCAACTTCATGATACTGATGTAGTCTTAGGGTTAGTTTGTGTCACTAGATAGGAGAAATACAGTTTTTGTGACCTTCAGCCTACCTTATGCCACTGACAGTCCCAGGACTGTCAATGAAAAAAAAAATCTGGTTTTAATACTCTGGCTTTATTTTCATCAAAACATTATGGAAAAATTCAGATATCTGTATGCTTTAGAACTTTGAGGACAACCAAGCTTACAGTGAGGAACCACCACAAGACCTGGCAACAAGACAGTGCCAGGCAACGAGAGATAGTATCATCATTAGTTGTGTGCTGGCAGTGTTCCTGTTGTGTAACAGAAAGCTTGGATTTTCAGGAGGAAATACCAATGTTCCCCAGTGAAGTTCAGAGGTTTGGTGATGTTTTGGTTTTAAAAGAAAAAATTGTGTTTTAGGGGCAAAACAGCCTGCATAGTCAGCTGCAATTCATGAAGCATAAAATCCATACACAGACAGTGAGGAGAATGTACATGTCAGCATTTGATGAGAAATGAAGATGAGCCAGGATTATTCTGACAAATTTTTCTGCAACTCTGATCAAGGATAGGAACTCCCTGTGGCTATTTTTAGTTCATTCCCAAATTGCAGCTTTACTTGAAACAAATCATTAATTTACTGGGCTTAAAACAATTCAGGTTTTTAGATCATGAATTAATTGGATTTAAAACAATTCAGTATTTTAGGACTTGCAAGCTCTTAAAAATTTCTCAATAAAAAGCTGCCAAACAATGGCAGACCTCTACACAGTGGATTTGAAGCCAGCTGACAACAAACTCCATTTTCTGGTTTACCATTTTTCATGCTGCACAGTGGTATTAACTCACAAATCTTTCTCAGAGGCCAGTTAAAAACCACAGCACTAGAGCTAACCCAAACTGGCAATTTGTTTTTGTCAGAAAATCCAGTGAAGTAACCAGATTGTCTGCCCAACTTGTGCTAAGATGCATTATTTCCCCAGTGGCCAGTCAACCTGTATTTCAGGACATGTGTTTTGTTCAGTCCACTCAAGTATTGATTGATCTACATCTTAAGTGGTCTCTTGTTGACAGACAGAACATCTAATCCTGACACTGCAAAGACACTAAGGCTACTTAGGATTCCTCTTCACAGATCAGTAATAAGACCTAAAAATTAACACTCCTCCATAGTTGAGGGTGGATCACCATCACCTTCAATACGTGTCTGTATCCCATAGTTACAAGTTTTTTCTGTCTTTTTTCAATATATTTAAGATATTTATTGTTAATCTGTTTGTCTCCTTCACTTGGCAGCATGTGGGTCCTGGACACCAATGTGATCTTCCAGGAGAGCCAGGGTAAACACCACAACAAGGTCAACTTTAGGCTTGGACACCAATGGCTGAATTACTCAAGGAAGTAAGTATCCATATCACCTGCACTGTGAGATCTGCTAGGATAAGTGCTTGCAATATTTTAGCCACTCTGTGTTAACCACAAGTGGAGGGCATTCCACAAACAAAACTATCAAAGTATCCATTAACAGATTTATTTTTGATTTTCATATCTCAGAATAACTGATATCTAAATTTCCTGATGAAATTTAAAAAAAAAAAGCCATCCAGTTGGGAACCCCCAGGTATTGTAAGCCTACTCTTTACTCCTTAATGGTTAAAAAAATCCTTCTTGCCAAGTTCTGGGCAAAATCAATGGGTAAACATTAGTCATCAGATGTGCCATCAGCTGGCAGAGCTTTTGGAATTGCTTTTCTTTTCTACAAGCCAACTTGTAGAAAGGTTAAAGATACTATTAGATCTGTTACAGTTCTCATGAAGTTCAGCAGTTTTAAAGCACTTTTTTGTGTAGCAACTCTCAAGTTCTTTAAGAGCAAAGCAATTAACATATGCTTACACTTATTAGCCCTGTTATTAACAGAAGTTGTTGCCCAGGAATATGTGACCCTCAGGCTTTTACAATAGCTTTTCCAATATTTTCTCCCTTTAACATTCCAATGAAAGCTGTTGGCATGTTCTCAAATCCTTCAGTGACATGTTCATGGCACTTCACTTTTCCCTATCAAAAGTAAGAAAGGAAATAGATGAGTGTTCATTCACCAGCTGCCTACTTTTTTCCTCTTTGGGAGACTAAACTGCATCCATATTTTCTCCAGCTTGTATGTTTCATCTGAAACATGCAAGCTGGTACACACCAGGGTAACTGCAAAACTAGGTATGCTGTGTGAGGATCTGATTTTGTTGCAACACCTTCTACTCGAAGTCGTAACAGGGAGCAAAAGTTACTGCTGTAAAACCACACCAAGACAGATTTAGGGCTATTTAGTCCCTAAACAATGAACAGGTAGGGGATTATTTCCCCAAAGCCAGGCCTGTCTCTGCCCATAGAGAAGTATGGAACTGGCTGAGCCATCTGTCATGGTTTGAACTCGGCTGGTAGCCAATCACCATGTGGCCAGTTGTTCACTTCCCCCATTCCCCAGTGAAACAGGGGAGGGACAAAAAAAAATTAATTTGTAGGCTGAATAAAAGAAAAATCTAGTAATAGTAACAAAACAAAAGTAACACTAGTAAGTCCCAGTGGGTAATACGCAATAACAGTTGCTCACTGACTGGTATGGAGCCCGCTCCCAGCAGCAATCCTGACCACCCCAAAGATGCTGCTGTGCAGACCCAGAAGTGGAAATGAGACATCCCCACCTCCTTTATATACTGAGCATGACATCACATGATATGGAATACTCCAATGACCGATCTGGGCTGGCCCTCTAGCTCAGCCCAAGAAAAGCTAACTCTATCCTGGCTGAAACCAGGACACCATCCCAAATCCTCATATTTGTAAAAGCTAGAGCCTCTTGGACTTTAGTGCTTGTTCATTCTTGCCAGTAATTTCAGCACAACACTACAGTGGAAATCCTTGCTTATAATACAAATGAAGGGAGACTTCTGAATGAGAAATAGAGGATTACTCTACATATGAAACTCTTCATTGCCAGAGACATATTTTGAATTGCTCCAGGAAGCATCTTTTTTCAAAGCCTCCACGTATACTGAAATACATCTAAGTCCACAAGCTAATATCGAATGTCTCAACAAAGCAGAAGGGATCACGCATGCTCAATTTGAGTGTCTCCAAGAGGCTCAAAGATCAAGTTAGGTGGAAGAAAAGTATCACATTGGGACCTCACCTCAACAGCTATGACAAGAGACCCCTTGCAAAGGGGGAAGCTGTGGTGTGAGTACCCCTTACAGAAAATTACCCCTTCCTTCCTTACCTCCATGACCCATTTTAGCAGTGCCTTCAGACCTTCCTCCCAACGGTTATTCCAGCGAGTCACGATAAACCCTTTCATTTGAAGTTCTTGGAAGATCATTGGAACCTGCAGGTAAGGCCCTGCAACAGAAAGGAACCAACAAACCACCTGCAATGTCAACTTCATTTAAAATAAGACCCAAGCTGTAAAGAGAGCTTTTAGACAGTAAAGACCACTGAATTACTTTGTTCCAGCCAGAAGCAACTGCTGTTTTTTCCAAACAGGATTTCCAGGACAGAAGACCTAAGAATTCATGCTCAGTTTGCCACCCAGGGAAACAAAAGTCTTATGCGTAAAGTTGTGGGGCTAAACACGCAGCACTTCTGAAAACAGTTTCATTCAGAAGTGACCTCAGCTTCATCTGAGAAGCTTGAGCTGAATCCTGTTTTGACAGCTTGTTTGATAGCCTGCCAAACTCATGTACTTCCTAAATCTCAAATAAGTTATGCACACTAAAAAACAGTTCCATCAATCATAATGTGTGATAGTCTCCCCTCTCTCAAAAGCCTGTCCCATTTTTAAAGTGACCTAGGAGTTCAAAGCCAATCAGTTGTCAAAGAGAATTCAGACCTCCTATTTCTTCTAGAAGGCAAATTTGGAAAATTTAATGCTATTTAAAGTGATTATTCATCTCAGCCTCATCATCTCCCAAAAGTTTCACCAGTTGCTGAAACCTTATGGAAAAAAATAACAAACCCCCCCCCAAGCTGCCTCATCTAAAAACCCAAGAGAAATCTCTCATCTAAAAGTATGTACTGTGTAAATAGCATCATGTCATCACACCTGCCTTCTACTGATCTCTATCTGCTTAGAGCCCTGGGGAGTCCTGCTTTAAGTAATTTAGTCTCTCCCTCATTTCTACTCAGCTGATGTTCTCCATCCAATATGAGTGTGCACAAAGGAGGATGAGTGCCTGTACACACAAGGAGTGTGGTCACACTCCCACTGTCCCAGAGTGGTTAGCTACCCAAATGTACACATACATACACTCAAATGGCATACAGAAACAAACAATAAAATCTCAAGAGACACCCATTATGTCTTTCTCTCTGCCATCACCAGACCGGAAATAAGTTTAGACACAAGAAAGCAGGCTCTCACCTTTCTGAGGCATAGAGACATTGTACTGAGAGATAGCTCCACAGACTGCAATCCTTCCAAATTTCTTCATCTGGTTGATAGCAATACTGGCAAATTCTCCACCCACCTATAAGAACCAGAGCATGTGCAGCATTAGAGACAATCCAGTGTTTGGGACTGACTGCCAAAAACTGCCAACCTTGCATTGTTGCACCAACAGGTTCCATCAGGGCATGAAGAGCTGAGTTCCACCACTCCAAAGACTCAGTAGCTGCAGAAACACTTATATTTAGTCAATACCTATGAGGACTCAATCTCACTCTTCTAAAAACTAGTTATGAGCACGGGGAATAATTTTTAATGCCAAATCTGCTTCAGAGCTTGGTTTGGAAGCATGAGAGCCCTCTTCCTATGGGACATGTCTGAGGACACTAAGAAGCACCACCTCTGTTTTTCCCCAACATAGCTCTGTGCTATTGACTATTCACATCATGGTGATATCAAGTTTTGACTTAATGATTCTCTTCTCTCATATGTGGACATGCTGTGTTCAGAAGCTTTTAACGGAGAAAAGCTGTGAGAAAATTTACCACTGGGGAGAGCTCTGCACAAAAGTTGAAAGTGAGAGGGAAGGGAATGGTATACAGGTATAATGCATACATCAGCTATTCCAGGAAATTAAAAAAGCCAGTGCTTGTGTTATGGTTTGAATGCAAACTGATGTGGTTTGACTGCATCCATACTGTTAAACTATCTTAGCCCCCAATACAAGATGGTCATTCAAACAGTGTATCAAGAACAGCCCACAGCCTCTGTTAACTCCAGCTGTACTTGGGAGAGGTCAGAAACCCTCTAATAGGCTGCTCCAGCAATTTTACAAGTGGGCCTTGCAACTGTTTGTTGTTACAGGTACTGGTGTATCCACCTGGCACACGTAACATGGGGCCATACATACTCACTCCCCTTCCAGCAACAGCAGAGAAGTGCCTGTGGTCCAAGGTGGCAAGGAACGGACTGAATCTCTCTCAGTTCAGCATCAGTTAAGTGTTCACTGTGACCTTCACATCCCCAAAATATGCCATACTTTCCAGAGAGTGAAGATAAGCTTCTCTCCCTTCATTCACAGACACCACCAACAGTCCAGCTTTGCCTTTTAGTCTTTGTTTTCTCTGTTACTGCCCAAGTCAGCTGCAGAGGTGTGGGAAGGGAACAAGAAAGCAGTAAGCTGTTATGGACACCATTGCTCAGTTAGGTGGAACTCAGTATCCAAATCCTGGTGTAGTCTTCAATTAGATGTATACAATATTCAGTTCCTGCTATGGTTTAAGGAAAATGACAGTCTGCTCAAGGCAAGGCCCTCCCTCTGAACTCACATTGTCAAAGAAACAGTCATAGCCATCAGGAGAGGCTTTACGCAATGCTTCATCCAGAGATGTAACAGTCTTGTAATTAAAGGCTTCATCAAAGCCTATTTTTTTCAGATAGGCAACCTTGTCATCTGAGCCAGCACAGCCAACCACTTTGCAACCCTGCAAGGAAAGGAGAAAAACATTTCTAAACATCCCTCACAACACAGGCTGACACAGAGTGCTAGGTGGAGGGCTCACCCTTAAAGTCAGGTTGTCGTCACCATACGAGTTCCTGAGCTGTAGGAGACATTCAGCTAGCTTTGCCACATCATCAGGAGTTTGTCCCATCACAGGACCTTACTGCAGGCATGCCTTCAGGCACACTTGCCCTCCTGATCATTCATGGACTTGTTTCCCTATCTCCCAGGTGAGCCTTCTGAGAAGCAAGTATAAGCATTTCAAGCCACTCACCCCGATTTTAGCGAGCTGCCCCACCACAGAGCCCACAGCACCAGCTGCAGCATTAACCAGCACTGTCTCTCCTGGCTTCATCTTGCAGACCTCCAGAAGACCAAAATATGCAGTGAGGCTGTGAAGAAAAAGAAAGAATGCTCAGTGAGGAATAAAAGACACCAGACAGAGATGTGACTTGGCCACACTGAACCAAAATATCTTCACAATCAGAACAAGATTCAGTTTTCCTCATTCTTTATGAAATACAAAAGGCAGAAGTCTACCTGAGGTGAAAACAGCTTTCTTTGTGCTTACTCGTCAGAAGGAGAAGCACAGAGAGAACTCAGCAAGGTGACAATTCAGTTACACACTGGAGGAGAGAGTAAATCCAAGATAGACAGAGGTCAGTAGTCAGCTGGTATCTACCAGATTGAAGCAAAGATTAAATGATACTCATCACAAATCAAAGCTGTCAGAAAAAGAAAAAATGGTGGCAAAGCCTTTTTGAACTGATGGGCACACTACTCCTGAGGACTACTGTGCACACCTATGGCTACTGAGTAAACAGTAATCTGTAGCAACCACTGAAGTTTAGCTCAAGCATGTGCCACTGATCATATAAATAATGAATGACATTGGGCTCTGCAAGCCTCCTGAAGCAATGTGATTGACTGGCCCAGAATCCCCACAAACTTTTCTTCTAATGTCTAAATTAAGCTTAGAGCTTCCCACTTGGTCTGAACTGAAAGGCTGAACTGAATCCATCTAGCAGCTGTCTGGAAAAACGTGCATCTTGCCTGAAATCTGGAAGTTCTACATCACACACAATGTTACAATAATTTTGAAAGCCTTCCATGTCAACAGGACTGACCAAGTCCTGATCTCCTATACAAAGTAGAGAGAAAGAAAAAAGATACGTGGGAAGATGACAGAGACTGCAGTAGTCAATAAGGATTCTAAAGCACAGCAGCACTATTTGCTGCAATGCAATTTAAAGGACCTCTGTTTTGCTGCATGGTATGACAGCTTGTAAGAGACAAGCCCCAAGTGGCTGTACTGTGAGCCCAGGCAGTGCCCCCAGAAGTGAGTCATAGGGAGGGGCCTGCTGTCACTTCTCTTGATTTCACTGGTCTCTCAACCACTCCTGGAACTGGGATGAGTTTTCCAGAAGTCCAGGAACTGGAGCCAATAAACAGTGACACGTACAAGTCTGGCAGGGACTCTCTCCCTGCACCAAACCCACCCCATTGGCAGATCAAGTGCTGGATCCAGGACTGATTATTTTTCCAGCTCTCTCTCTTTCTCTTTTCTCTTTCAAGTTGTTAAAGTGTTAAAGGCCTACCTTGCTTTCACATAAAGCTGCACAGCTCTGGTAGAAACAACTGTGAGAATGCCAGCATTTACAGATTATTTGGTCTCTATGTTCTCATTAAAGCTGATGTTTATGTACGGACCTTGAGTGTTATCTCACCTTAATCCACACCAAGGGGATTTGCAAATCTCAGTTACTCCCCTCTCTTCACAGGTGGGATGGGACACAGCTGTCTTTTGGCATTCTGGGGGCAATTCTGGAAATACGGTAATAGCAGAAGAGCCCAACCAGCAAAAGCAGACTAGTCCAGGTGCCAGTGAAGTTTGAGTTTTCCACTGAGGTTAATTCAGACTGAACTGTAGTCTTTCCAGCCCCTCCTGGATCTTCTTCCTACCTTATTACACCTCCTCAAGGAGAAGAACCATAGTCTCCAAGGGAAATCTCCTCTGCTCTAGGGGATGAGACAGGCTTCAGACCTTCTACAGGGTAAGGGTATCCAGAAGCACACATTTTTTTAACAGAATGAACAGACAACATGCTAGTAGAACAAGATGAGGGAAAAGGGTCATAGACAAGCAGAAATATTCTGCACAGCAAAGTCCAGGTGATAGTTGCCTTTGCATCTTGAAACTCACCCTGGCATGCCAACAGTCCCAAGAGCCAGAGATTTGGGGAGTGATTCCGGCCAATTGGGAGGAAGGTGTTGGAGGTCTTTCCCATCAGAGATGAAATGAGTTCTCCAGCCACTTCTAGCTACAACAAAGGCCCCCACTGTGAAAGCAGGATTCTTGCTTTCTACAATTCTGTTTAAAAAAAAAAACTGTCAGAGATAAATCATTACTGCCTCTTCTCTCCTTTATTCCTGTTGCACTGTGATGCAGGAGAAAAGAAATTGTTCACATCAAGACATCTAGCCCATACCTGCTGATGCTGTAACCTTCTGATGCCTTCCCTAAAGTGTCTACTATCTCTCATCATCAAGTGTATACTGGGCAAGATGATTCTAGACTAAGCCCAGCCACAATGTTCCCAAACAGATGCCAATTTTTTTTTTTAACTAGTACCAGTCTGATATGAATTCAGAGTAGGCTTCTGTGAGTTAGAAGGCATGAAAAAGGATGCCAGGATTAAAGAGTGGAAAAGCAAGAAATCACAAATAGGCTGCAGCAAGCAGTTCCTTTCTCAGATAACCTGTACCTCATTTATAGGTTGAAGATCCTGAAGATGGAACTTCTTGGGGTTACAAAACCAAAGAAAAAGCAGTATCTAATAACAGGGAGAAGTTCATACTTGTGGTGTCTCTATGCCAAATGAAAATTCAACTTTCTTAGCCCAACCCAACAGGAAAACTACATGGAGAAGGGTAGGTAAGCAGCTTTGAAATTTTGGAAACTGTTGACCTCTGTTCAGCAGAGTTGTTTGTTAATTTATCCCAGTTCTCAGCGTTCCTACAGCAAAACACAAGAGTCAAAGGCCACAGATGTTCCTGGGCAGCAACTTAGAGGCAGCACAGCAGGAACAAGCTGACAAAGGGAAACATCTGTGTAGCTGTATTACCACAAAGGAAAGTATGGGTTTAAGCTTAGATAACTGTTTGGATAGAGCTGTATCTCAGGTGATGCTGAGGTATTCTCAACTGGAGTAGATAGCATGCATGTTTCAGGCATGCAATTACTAGCACATCAGATTTTAAAATGTGAAGTTGACACTTACGGCAAGTACAATGGCTGGTCCTTCATACTTCTGCTTGTAAAAATTTCCTTTGAAAACATTATCAGCAGAAATAACATAAATTGTATCAGAGGCCTAAATGCCTAAATGCCAAGAAGGCAAAAGAGGTTCTTAGAGGCAAAACACCTTCCAACCAATTACAGATAAAAGTACAGTTGCAGAAGTATGTAGACTCAAGTCAAGAACATGTAATGCAAGCTGCAGATGTCTCAAATGTCAGTGCATTCCTTTGAGACCTGCCATGTGTTTGTATAACAAAAACCAAAGAACTTACCTGGCAACCTGTGTGCCTATCATTATGTCCCCTTCCTTCATGTCCCTTTGACTGTAAGGTCTGTAACACAGGAAGAGGTGGCTTACTATAAACAATTTCAATGACATTACAGATACACTATGAAGTAGTAGCTACTGTCTGACTCAGAAAAAGAGCATAAGCAGTGATGTTGAACAGATCAATAAGCTTGTCATTGTAATGACATAACTGCATGTTTTCCACAGCCAGGTATTTGCGCATCCCATCCTGACCAAATGCTGGGCTAGAGCGCTAGGGACACAATAGCATTAATCTTCCCAGCATGGTCCACCACTACAAGAGGCTACAAAGAACTACCTCTGACACTAGGGTCCACCGGGCCTCTTCAAACTACCCAGTCTCCCTGTGCTTGAACTATCACCTATTAACATGGGCATATCAGCAATTTCCTACTTAGCTATGTATCCTTAAGCAAGGTTGCTAAGACAAATGAAGCAGCTCCTGCAACAGGGCTGCAGTCTCATTTGAACCTGATGCTTTCCAGCAGAAGAGACATGACAGGGAACAACAGCAGAATCCAAGAAAAATCTAGGGCTGCAGCATTGTTATCCTAATGTCTGGCTAAATCTGACACAGGTCCATATTGTGAGTCTTTTAATTTACACACATTTTATAAAAAGCAGACAAAGGCACCTGGGACTCTGGCAACATGGGGTGCTCCCTGTACAGGTTCTTTTAAGGTTTAAGTGGGAAATCAAATGAGGTATCTCAGACAAAAATTTGAAAAGAAGAAAAAGATATACCTCATGTAAGGATCAACACTGAGAAACACTGATTCAAGCAGCAACTCTGCAACAAAAGACAAAGCAAATTCCTGAGCATTAGCAATGCAGTAAAGCATAGTTTCCACAAGTCAGTCTTTCAATAAAAGCAACAGGAATTCCTGACAGCTCAGAAACCCCATATTCCATCATCCTTTAGGGAAAAACTACTTGAAAGGCCTACTACATTTGTTACCTTTGTCTGGCTTATCGCTGTTACAAAAGACACTTTCTGTTGTGTCTCTTTAAGAGGTTAGCTTGTTTTCATTTCAGCTCTTCAGATACCTTTTCTCTCTATGGAAGGCTCAAGAGGCCATATCCCCTAAACAAAATACTAACTTACTTTCGACCAATATATAAATGCTTTCCCATGATTCAACCAGCAGAGGGTGATAAGAAACCTTGGCACTGGTCAAATAGAAACTACTTTTCTGCCTTAAACAGAAAGCATTATGCTATCTTCTCTAGGTAGCTTAATCCACTTTACTGTCCCTAATGACACTAGTTCTTGTGAAATACACTGCTAAACAAATTTTAATTTAAATTCTCATTCATATAGCAGTTTTAGCTGTTCATCTCCACCTAATAATAGTTTTCATTGCCAGTGCTGCAGTGGTCTAGCTAGTACAAGCTAGAACTATATTCAGATAAAAATATTTTCCCATTACTCAGAGTGAGCAGGAAGAATACTTAAGGCCATGTAACATAACAATAAAGGCCAATTCCTTTTAAAGTGTTACCCTAGTATGAATTTATGCTTCTTCTTGCTGTAGGGATTAAAATAGGAAGGAAGAAATTACTCCATGTTCTTAAATACCCACAGGCATGAAATTTTTAAGTGTATCTGAATGATATAGAAATACACATGCTATGAAAATGTGTATGTATGGTATGAAAATGTATATGTAAGAAGAAATCACTTTTCAAACCTTTAAGCTGTAAACATAACTAGTACTTTAATGCAATTTTTTTGGCGCACCTTCTGAACTTGATTAAATTTTGTAAAGAACAAATAGTGGGGTGACATTCAAGGCAGCATGGTACAGAGGTCCATGTGAAGCCAAAAATCCAGGTTAATTCTTTTATCAATAGCTCTTGCATATAGTAAGTTATTCCCTACCCTTTTCAAAGCAGAAACATAGGAATAAAACCTGTGCATTTTTATTCACTCTCTCTTACTGTCACACTGGTCAAATATAACAGATCACTAGCAAAAAAAACTGATGGAGACAAAAGTCTTTTCTTGTTGCTTCTTAAAATGAAAAAGCCCACGTTGACTCCTGCCCCAAGGCCTCCCTGCTACATGCTCTCTCGCACCTGAGTCACTCTGTTCTCCGCTGGCACTATCCTCAATACCTTCCCTATCAGCATGAAAAACTCCAATGAAAACCTACTTTCAGAGGCCTCCATCTTCTCCAGCATCCTCCAAAGGATTTTGCAAAATAAAGTAGATGAAGACCTTTCACCAGTAAAGCACGTTTGGGTTTTACTAGAGTGAACTCATTTGCTCTTTGTCACAGTTCACTTCTCTCTTTCTAAATTAAAGCAATTCTCTTTCCTTGTTGCTGTCAGTTTCGAGGCCATTATCACTTCAACCATTTTCTTCAGTAAGCTGTATTTGTAAACATATTTGAATGCCTTTGCACCATGAGTGATTAGGCACTGTGACTCTGTGAAATGCACTCCACAGCTGCTTGCTTGCTGCAGTTAGAAGAGCTCTGCCACTGTTTCTAAGTATTATCAGAAGGCAACATGTCTTAAAACCCACCAAACCCCTCAGCATATGTGTTCTTGAGCAATCGCCCTTCTCTGCTAAGTGCATGGCTTGCCACAAGATGTGCAAAAAATCCAAGCCGTTTTCAAAAATCCAAGCCAGAGAAACATACAAACAGTTCAACAGACGCACAGCCACTTGTCAGCAATCAGACAACCTACAGAAAAAATAAAACCAGGCAGCCCTTCACTTACCACCATCCTTTAGATTTGGCAGCTCTATCATTTTCTGGTCAAAGTCACTGGTTTTGGGGAAACCCTCAAAATGCTTCTTCAGAACCCAGGCCTTGGCAGTCACCATCCTGCACAAAGAACAGCACAGTCAAAAAGTGCCTGTCAAAAAGAGATGCACAGTGGTGCCAGCCTGCTCATGGGGGCTAGTTTAGACTTGACAAAGCAGAACAGTACCTTGATAACACGCCCTCACACAAGATAGTCTCTGCTTGTATCCTGTGGCAATACTGCCGGATCAACAAAACATCTGAAAAGCTCCCTCATTGCCTAAGCAACCCATAGTTTCCTGTGACCTGAGGGACCTCCTTGCCTGCTGGCAGCAAGCCCTAGTGTAAGAAGTCAACCCCAGCAAGTTGTACAGCTCCCTCTCTAAAAGAAATTTTAGAGGGAAAATCTACTAGTTTAGAGGGAAAATCTACTAGTTTAAGGAGGAAAAAAAAATCCTTGAAGGAAACACTTAAACTCACTCTTATGCTCCAGTTACATGGGGTGAGTATGGAACCTAAACTTTTACAAGCTTGAACCACAGTGCGAGTGAGAAATACAAAGGTAAAAAAACCTCTTTCCATGACACCCCGTATATTGAGAGAAAACACTTCTCCAGTCACCAAGCTCAGGGCTTGGAACTGGTAGCACAGTCACCAGCATTTTTCATACAAGGTGAAAACAAATTACTTGCATTCACTTTGCCCTCACAGACCCTTTTTCCTGCCTGTATCAAGCACATCAACAAGGGCAAAGAAGGAGAAGTTTATTCTTGGAGCAGGCAGGTGAAAAACTGTCTTCTACTGACAAGGCCAGTCAATAACTTTCTGCATCCGACTCAGCTGGCAGCTGAACTTCTTCAGTTACACACTTCCTAACAGGCAAAGACATTTGCTTTTATCCACAGAACAGGTACCAACCTCAGTACACTCTCCCAGGAACAAGTGTAAACCCTGAGTAATCCTGGCACAGGGCACACCCAATGTGATTCACCTTTCTCCTATTAAGATTTAAGATCATTCTTAACAACCACTCCAATTCAGTGCCCAGACAGTTGCAGAGATGTTCTGAAATATGCCAAGCTAAATACACAAAACCCACAGTCCTAGAAACCACAAAATACTACAGTCTGGAGACCAAGACTATCCTCCAGAACAGGAGTTTCTTCAAATCACATTTTACCAGGCCAGTCCTAAAACTGTTAAAAATTCTGCCACTGAGGAAAAATATCTAATTAAAAATATAAAATTTGTTGTTCAACCCATCATTTAACACAGTGAATGTTCCATATGTATGCCATCACAAGGTAACACTACAGATGTCTCTAGGAAATTTTCTACTCTGCCCATTCTAAACTTGTAAATAGAACAGTGACGGGATACTGATTTAAGTGTTGTGGTCAACCATATAAGGGAATGAGTTACTGCAACTTTGTGTAAACAATGCATGTCTGGTTATCACTAAAAAGATCGATAAGAGGGGAACATCGTGCCTGAGAAGGTGCCAAAGGCTGGATGATTGTCTGAGAAGCATGAAGTCAGGGAAATCTGTGGTAACTGAGGAAAAGATGAAGGTGGCAGGGGGAAACTTCAACCACCAACTCAATTTCAGACAGACATGCCCTCCCTCACCCTTCGAGTTTGTACAGAATTAAAAGACACTGTAACTTTAAATCAAGACTGGACACAAATACCTCTACTTTTCCTGTATATTGGCATATTGCACACTGGGTAAAAGACCCCACTTGAGGGACAACACTACCATGACATTTACATAGAGATGGCTGCAAGGTCTGTAAGGTCATCCGTACCCACTTGTATGGCTGTGTCTGCACACTGGGATCAACGTGCATTGCAGAACCACCTTAAGAAACAGTACCAAGCTTTGGCATTTTGCCTCAACAGTGTTGCAATGAGGCATGTGGTATGGGAAAAAAAATCTTACTCAGGAAGTCTTCAGCTTTTATTTTTCTTGAGAAAATATTCAAGTAGAATATGAAGGGTGGAAAGTGTAAAGAGACTGATATGTAGTGGCATGTTTTACCTACAAAACACCTGAAGACAAAAGTACTGATTAGGAGCAGAGACCCGAGAAAATAAACAAAACTTTTATAAGATGCACAAGCAAGGACTAGGGAGAACAGGGCAACGTCTCCAATATTTAGATAAAAGCAAAAGCCACCAGACCCACAAACTCATCAGCACTCAGCAACTTTCTATGATGAACCAGGGATATTCCTGGGTCCTTGATGAGAAGGAAACGCAGCACAGGTGAAGAGTTCCTCCACTAGGAGTGTATGCTGGGGAACTGCCTATATCATAAAATAAAAATGAAATAAGTATTATCAAACTCACTGTCAAAGTGAGCAGCCAAAACCAGCATTCCTCACAGAAAACTTACCTGCAGCAATTGCCACCTGACCTGCAAATGCTGCTTCTTAAACAAAAAAATGCAGGTGGCACTCTCCTGTCATTGCCATCCACTGCTGCATCTACTTTGGTATCGACAGTGCCTATCTGTACTTTTCAGTAATACAAGATATTGTGGGACTGCAGCAACACCAATCAAACTCGGCAAAGGGGCTTACAGGAGCAAAAGGTGAGTTCAGAGTAATTCAAAACAGATCCCATTCACTCGCTTATACCCACAAGCACTAACAGGTGTTTGTCCCAGCAGTGTGTCCTGCGTTCAGACACAGGTACACAAGTGCTCCAGCCAGGAATGACCCGGGGACAAGGGCCACTGCTTAGGTTGGCAGCCATCTGCTGATGTGCCATTTGTACCCGGAGAGCCAAAAGTGATTCAGAAATGTTTTGTCTCCCATCCTGTCCCACCTTTGTGAGTCATCAATATTGTCTCTTTTCTCTGTCTGCCTCAAGGCTCCAGCCCTGTTCTGTACATCCCCACCATCAACTCTTAATAGCTTGATTCTTCAGTCTGAGTACAGGAATGTGTTGTCCCTTGTTTTAGGCTTTTGTTTTCCCTATCTGGTCCTCTAAGAAGCTGCACAAAGATGTCCTGCAGGCCTGATGATCTGCAAATGTAGGTGCCATCAGTATTGCCCATTTCTCTCTCTTCTACTGTTCCTCCTGGTGCTTTCACACTCAGATCTCCCATTCACACCAATCTTCACATTCTTGTCAAGAATTTCCATTTTTTGTATAGACAGATTTTTCAGCAGAACAATGATTCCTCCTATAAACAATACTGAAAGATTAATTTCACTGAACCATTTTGATTACATATAGGCCTAACTTTGGGAACAGGACAAATTTTCTCCTTACCACTTCTCACCTACTGAAATCTCATTATTATGTCCACTTCAAGGCTAGGGATGTTTTCCATAGGCTGCAAAACAAAAAGCCCCAAACCAAACAAACAGAAAAGAGAACAAAGACACATGCTTGATGAATGGATTCACAAATCACTTTCCAGGTCAATAAACAAAGATTAATTTGTATGTTTAGATATAAAATCATAAGAACTGGTAAGGCCTGCATTACTGAAGCATATTAAAGAACTCTAAAGCACAAACAGCAATGATGCAACATTTGTGGTGTCCAGCAAAAGCGTTACTGGACTAAGCATGTGATAGCCACCATCTCGGCTCCAAGAGCAGTACCCACTGTGCTGTAAAACTATTTCATTGTCCGTGTCAGTGGGTTACATAATACATTTCTTTTGTGTGTTTTCTGCATGTTTCATAGTCCATTATAATCATTACTACAAAGAGGCAGCTGTGATAAAAAGTTGAAAAAGAACAGTCCATGTGTTGTCCCAAAGCAGGGGTTCATCACCCAGTATGCAAAGAGCCAGTTAACACAGAGTTGAGATATTTATATTTATTATATGGATGCACATGCACATGTGCCTGTTCCAAGACAGCACACCATGGTTCCCAAAACTACCATTATTTACACACACAATTTTTACATATTCAGTACACTGAAACATATCTACTATGCTTAGCATGTAAATTAGCACGCTAGTTTGCCCTTTCTGCCACCTTCTTTTGAGTCCCAGGTGTAATTAGAGTCGGTGCTCCATGGGTTTGGAGGCTGTGATCTCCCCCTGATGTAATTACCTCTTACCTAGTCTCCTCTTAATTTGGCAGGTCGTTGCAGCTCACTGTCTCTAGTTCCCATTAATCCTACCTAGGATCCTGGTTTTTGTCATGCATATACAATAGCAGATTGTTTCAAGGTTAATAATTTGTTTCTACCATTATCCTAACAACTAATCATTTGGTTCTACAGTGTTCCTAACAAAGTTGACCTCTGACCTTTTAACATTCCTTTTAATAATCCAACATGACATGAAGGTGATAAAAAGACTCTTAAAAATAACGAATTTCTATCAAGTTCAGGAAATAAAAGAATGTGATGCATTTGTCTGATATTCTTACAAAAGAACCATTAAAGCTTTTACTGAAATTGAAGTCCAAGACAGCATTTATTCTGATGTCCTTCAAACCCTCCTTGTCCTCTGGTCTAGCCCATCAAGTTATCAAAGAATAAAGTTTTACATTAATCTCTATCATAAAATCAGACACCTAGGAAAAAATAATGTATTGGTGGATCTGAGCTTTGTGCACTAACAATATACATAAGAAAGCAAAGATCCAGTCTCTGTTCAGACCTCAGATTTCAGTTGGTGAAAACTGTAGCAGAGCTGCAAGCAAAGCACATTCACACACATTATCACAGCTCAACCCCCAAAATCAGCATGGGGAAGGACATTCACAATTCAGGGGAAAATGAGAGAGAAGAGAAGAAGGAAGATGTGAAAACTGGAATCCCATAGTAGATGCCAGCAACTGGAAAAAGTCAGGAATAAAGAGGACAGACAAGTCCGAGAAAATTGAGAGTTTGATGGGAGGCTGAGGAGCTGGTGGTGACAGGTGAAATGTGGGAATCTTCACATTAAAGTAGAAGAGTAGCAAAGCTCTCAAGGGAGCATAAGTCAAACCAGCAAAGTCCACCTCCCTTAAGTAACCCCAGCTAACATTTGTATATTCTGTGGTATGGTTTCCTAGCCTGGGCTTGCCCAAATCTAACCTTGAGGACAAAATTGTCTTAGAAGCCTGGCAGTTAAAATAAATTCAAATTTGGTGTTAGCTTAACAGTTCATCATGTTGCCAGTCACAATTAATTCGAAGATATGGCTGTAGTACTTGTTTCCTTTTATTTTCATTCCAAAGCAGGAACAGCTATGCTTCCAGCTACATTGGAAGGAAAGGGTATCGTTAAAAGCTGAGTATATCTCTCAGACATAATTAATTTGTAGATTGGTGCTGAAGAAAAAACACCTATCACCACAACAGCAACATTGTTCAGGAAATCATCATCTCCTATAGTCCCTTTCTCCAGAACCAATTTACACAGCCTCCTTGCAGCATTTCAAAGCAATCTGCCAGGCATCAGCATAAAAGACTTTCTAAATACTTTAAAAACCAACCAAACAAAAGGACTTCTTGGCAGCAGAGACAGCCAAGGGAGTCATAATCTAGAGGTTACTTTAGGATTTCCTATGCATTACAGGATTACCAACTACCTGAAAGTGAATATGGCCTCAAATCATAAGTGCCTGCAAGTCTTAGCAAAAATTACCTGTTCCTCCCTCTGTTTTAGCTGTCACGATGCTTTCTCAGGAGTACGTTTTTCCTGTGGTGAAAAACAAGGTAATGGTAAACCACTCCTACTTTCACCAGATAATATACTGTATATACCTTAGCAAACATGATGCTGCGTTATGAAGCAATAAAGCTGCAGCTTTATGCAATGCTATCAAGCCCTGGAAGGTCAAATATTGGAGGTGAGTAGTCATCTGGTAAGAAGACTTTGCCACGCTGCACTATGTTACAAGTCTGTAATTTCAAGAGAGGTTCAACAGTCCTGCAGAGCAAGTTCACACGGGGAAAGGAAAAGGGAAGCCAATGTTTGCACTGAAACAGGCCAGCTGCCGTTCCGCTCTCAGAAACTGCATAAAAATACGAGAATTTTAAGAATTTATAAAATAGAATAAGCAAGAAGCCCACAGATAGGAAGGAAGACAAGACACTACAGGTGGCCTGGGCTGACAAACCAAGCCAAAGCCTCCAGCGGGACCAGCCCCCTTAAGAGGGCATTCTTAAGCTTCTTTCAAGTACCCTTTCTAATTCCCCTTTGCTTAGATGTTGATACAATCCAAGAACATGCTGCAACAGCAGTAAAGGTAAAATCTCATCAAAGATGTTGAGACATACTGCAGCACAGTTTCGCTTCTTATGACACGCCTTGTTACTGCACCACAAAGAGAAGTTTCATTTGCTTGATTTTACAGCTTCCAAAGAAAACTCTGGTTTTTTGAAAGCTCCAGTATGCTTAAATTTCTAGAAAACTCCATTTAAATTAAACCCTAAACTTTTGACTACACCAAGCAAGCAATTTTTTGTTTTAGGGGAAAAAGATAAGAAATCTTAGGCTGGTATCTAATATTATAAAGTTAATGCAGGATTTACTAAGACTGTCCATTGACTGCTTCCCTCATTTCTCATTACTTACCTCTACAAAAGTTAAGCACTCCGGTTGTCTGTTGTCCCTTGCAGTGTAATGTAATAGAACAGCCCTTTGTGCTCAAAAGGGAAGTTACAAACATACTTTCAAGCACGAGCAATCCCTCTGAGGCCCCCTCCTGAATTTCTGTATTACAACAGCAGATTTATCCTTGAACAAATTCCTGCTCATAACACATGCAACAAACTGTCTGCTCCAGCCCACCCAGCGTATCCAAGACAGCCATTATCTGTTACCACTCCAATTAATTAAAAGATAAAGGGACAAGAGAAAAAAGAGGCAAGTCAGTGAAAGTCTAAGGAACGGCAGTGGAAAGGTGGAAGGCAGAGAGCAGCCATCAGTAACTGTTTTATCACTGCTTTAGACAATAGACAGCATCTGGCAAAAGGGGCCAGAGGACCTCCCCCCTACCCCAGCATACATCATCAGCTCAGCACAGAACTTTACTGTTGGTGAGGGGAAAAAGTTAATAACTGATTTGTACCTTTAAGACTCTGGGCCTTTTGCCCACCGAGCTGCAGAGAACTGATAGTAACAGCATGTCCTTGGAAGATAAGGGATATAAAGCCTGCCTAGAAGACAAAAGGATTATACGGAGAGCAGACCAGTTCTGACCACCCGAAGCACATAGCTCAGCAGAAACCAGCAAAAGATCAGAAGTTTACCAGCGAGGAAGACTTAGAGCCTTCATCAAACGACCACCAGAGAACACCCAACGACCACATTTTACAGAGCATGTAAACGATTTCTGGGAAATCGTTTGAATACTCCGGCCTTTTCTGGGAAAATTTATGCATATGTATGTATACTGCCTATATAGCCTGTCTCTTATACA